GGTCTCTTCCTTAGTCTCTTTCAAAAAAATTTTATAAATAAAAAAGTTTTGCATGTCTCTACTCATGTACTGCATAGATATCTATGTGGTGAAGAGGTAATGGGAAATATGTATCTGACAACTATTTACTCAGCAAATATGTAGTGAGGAGATAAATGTAAGGAACTAGGTGGTCTCTGCAATCGGAAGAGTTAAACAGGCCAAGGACTTTGCAATCTGGCCTAAATTTACGTGCTGTACGGCCTTGAACAAATCACCTATGACCTCCCTGTGATTAATTCTCTTCACAAGTGAAATATATTGTTTTGTGGATCGAATGACTATATCATAAGTGCTTAGTAATATTTGGAAAATAGTAATGGCTCAGTAATTGGTAGCTATTATGATTATTTATGTTAAAATGATTAAAGGATAGAAGAGACTCACATGCTAGCAATTGCTTTTGATTTAGAAAGAGTGAAAGAAAGGTGAGAATATGGCAACGTGCTGTGGAATCAGAAAGGAAGGGGTGGCTCATTCTGATCAGGTCATCAGGGAGGGCTTGACAGTGAAATGCTCTCCCAGCGGGCAGCAGAAGGGGAAGCCGAAATCCATCAAGTGACCTAAAGTCTGGAGCATCTGCTTGGTCTACAGGACCAGGCAATCTGGGGCCATATAATAGCTTTACCACTGCTAGTAGTATGAGCTCAAGGAAGTAACTTGACTTTTTCTGGCCTCTGCTTTTTCTTCTGTGAAATGGGAGAATAAGGTTCCTACTTGTGAAGACCATTGGGAAGAAAAAGCAATAATACGTGTAAAGCACTTAGAATTGGGCCTCTCCAGTTGACAAGAAAGATTATTTGATGTTGAAGAATCCTTAATCATTATTATGGTTAAAACCCAGGGAGCTATATCTATATTTCATCATGGAGTGGACAAAAGACATGAAAGGTAAAATAGTAGAAAAAGCGACTCAGAAATAGTGTGTGCTGGGAAACAGAGATGAAGGTACTTGGAATGTGTAGCCAGCAGCAGATGCCAACAGAGTGACCAATGAAGTGTAAAGGGCGAGAGCAGCCTGGATTATAAAGGGCCATGAACACATCGATAAGAAGTACAGACTTTATCTTGAAGGCATCAAGAACCACAGCATTAAGTTCCACGGATCCTTAACGATATCATTTTAAGAGTTCAAGGGTTTGGCAGGTATTTATAAAAACAGATTTATTATTGTAAATGATTCTATCCAATTCACAGTATTAAAATATTCTCTGTCCCTGAGAAAAATCTGATGGAATTACCATGATGGAAAATATGTAAATTTAAAAAAAAATCCATTTAATTAACTATTTGGATATTTATAAACATCTGTTTATTTAATAAAATGGATGGCTGAAATCATATGGATGATATCCACGATCATGTTGAATTTTTCCTCTTTGAGTTCTAAACATACACATAGCTCTGAAAAGTCACTCAATAATAATTACTCATAATTTAACATTATTGCATAAAGCACTATTCTACGTGCTTTCTGTGTATCATTTCATTTAATTTTTATAAAATTCTCATTGTTATGAATAGTGTTACCCCATTTTACAGGTGAAGAAACAGATTAAATAATTTGCTTAAAGGACTACAGCCAGTAAGTAAATGAGCCGATGTTTTATCCAGGGAGTCTATCTCTTCAAAGTGTGCACTCTCAACGTCATGATTACATACTCTGTATGAAGCAACTGACAGCTACAGTTGGTCTTTCCTTCTTTGCCTGTTGAACTGGACATTCTTCCTTTTAGGAACATGTTAGGCCCTATTCTTCTCCTTGGCCCTCCAAGGTCTTATCTATGTTTATTGTACTACGCTAACCCTGTAACTCTTTCTTATTATCGATTATTAGAATTTCTTTAATGGCTCGTCTTAGTCTTACCACATTTACTACTAGACAGGAACACTGGAGGAGCATGATTTTCTTTTTCTGACCTGTTCCCCTCTTTTGGGGGGCTACTACCTGACTTATCTTAAAAACTCTTCCATTCTCATAGAAGCTATTTGGCAGTAGGCTTGGATTTACTTTGATTTGTCACTACTTCTTTATTAGAGAGAAAAAATTCAGATTCATCATAGAGAAATCACAACACTACATACAGTATTTGCATTTCAGAGTATTTTCTGTGATTATCTGTAACATGATCATGGCTAACTGTGATCAGTCTCCCTTTGTGACTTGGCTACTGTGGCTTTTTACATAGTTCCTTCCTACTTAGAAATGGTTTCTAAACTAGCATTTCTGGGATGCCACACAAGTAACTATCATCTAGAATGACTTTAATCTGTTGCTCTGTCACAAAAAGTTATGCTGGCAAGTTTTAACATACTTGTATTTAAGTCAAGGATTTATGATGGTTTGGATGTTGACAATGTTGACATTGCCTCTCCTACATAAAGGGGCCAAGATTTCTTACCAGGCACATGAAATTACCTATGAGTAATTATTTCACAGAACTCAGTTTATGCTGAATCTTTTCTGCATGGTTTTGAAGTAGTTAACAACTTTTGTCCACCAATATGCCCACTCTTCTGTTGTTTGTTTTAATACAGAGCTTCTCCAGAGCCTTGGGCATGGCACTTCCAAACGTCAGCAGCTATTAGCTCTGCACATTCATCTTTGTTTCTTTATTTCTACTGAGTAGCCTATATCTCCCAGAGGTGAGTTCAGGTGGCTTAACACAACATGGGTGTGTGTGTGTTATGTATTTTCTCAAAATATGGCATGATAGTTATCTACCTTATCTCTCCTGCTTGCTTGTAAACTTTTTTGGATCCCTAATAGTGCGTAAAGCCTATACTTCGCTTATGATCTACAGAGGGAGAACTGGATTTTTAAAATTATCTATCTATCCATCTATCTATCTTGGTTTTCCAGGGCCTCCACTTTAATTTACAAAAGCATGTTTTGAGAGAGGATAGATGTGGTATTTTAAAATGCAGTGCAAATACCATAATGCTATTTTTTCAATGAAAACTTCCAAGTTATGTTTCCCTAATTTTTGTTCCTATTATTTTAAACATATAATATGTGCATATGTGTATGTGTGTGTGTGTGTGTGTGTGTGTGTGTGTGTGTGTGTATGTACTGCATTTTTGCCATTAAGCATATAAGAGCAACATTTCTTCTGTTAGTCCAAATTTTCTGTTCCTCTATCCTTTGGCCAAACTTTATCTGAAAACATTTTGTGTGTTTCAAGTGTGGTTTTTATAATTAAGTTCAGCTCTCACCAAGCTGAAGGCGCACCATATTACCAGGTACATTGGCTCTTTGAAGCGTGCAAAGAAGTGTGTATAATACGGTATACAGACTGGTCAAACTTGGGCCTGATCTTTACATCAACAGGAAGGAGAACCAGAAATCTGCTTTCATGAATGCAAAAGCACTTGCTTAAACTAATAGAAATAATTTCTAGTGTTTCACAATCATGCAGTAAACTGCAACCAAGCGGCCAGTCCTCAAAGGCCCCTGTCCCGGATATAGGGATGTAAGAACTAGATAACAAGGCATGAGGCCAATTATACCACCACTTTCTTAGCTATCAGTACTTGAACCAGACCCTGTAGCCTCTCACTCACACTTCTCTTGACCTGACATACTGTTGTTATAAATGTCACATAGAACAAAGCATAGGGAGTACTTTGGAATTAGTAAAATATTCCATATAAATACAAGGTAATGTTATTATTGGGTTTTATCAGGGAAAACATTTGCTAGAAAAGAGAAACTTTATTTTGTTTGGAATTTGCCAGGCCATTGTTTAATAATTACTACTGTAGCATGAACTGGCCAGGTAAATTTATTGCTTTTATTCTGATCTATCCATTGTCTCTATCTTTTTGCAAAAAATAGCCCCTTTTCTAGGGTCTGTTAAATAGCCCCCTTTCTAGGGTCTATGCATTATGCTATAGTATAATATGTGGTATGAAAGAGAGTTATGCTATTATGTCATGATAGAAGTGGTTTGTGATAGATGATTTCTTGTCTTTTTTATATACTTCCACACTTCAATTTTACTTATCTGTACAAGGAGCCATATTTTCTCATGTTTGAATTACTTGGGTTATGAAGAACTGTTATGAAGTTATAACTACACATTTATGTAGTAATAAATGGAATCTGACTAGATAGCTTGAATAGACTGTTAATAATGATACTTGAGAAGAACTCAAGGCAACTGGAAGAAATCAGTTTAATATTAAAAATGTATAAACATTTATATATTATAGAATCTGAGTGGTGATATGAAAGATGTTAGTCAGAATTAAGTAAAAAATGTAAATTACACATTTCAGGAGAACTATAGACTCATTAGCTCCAAGTACATAAAATAACTTCCTTGAAATTATAGGTCTTTGTATAGATTTCGTTAAATAAATTTTTAAAAATCAAATTAGCATTAATTTTTATATGTGACTTGATATTACCAATGTGCAAAAGGCATCTTTAAGCAATAAGACACTCTCCCTGAGAGGCAGGATGATTATTTTGTTCAGCAATATTTTTCTGTAAATAGTAAAAAGGTTGTATTAGTCCAGCCCACAAGAACTGGTCAAACAATTCATATAAATAAGTTTTTTTAGAATATCCCTCCATATGAGGTGAAACTTGACCCTAATTACAAGGTTAATTCTTTATTTTTTTCCGTTTTATATATTTATGACCATGTGCACACTTCATTTTGTGTTTATCTATTTATTTATTTTCACCCCAAAGAGAAAACAGCAATGGGCCATAATTCCCTACTATATTCGGTGGGAGTATACATTTATATCAAATCCTTCCTATTGACGTTAGTATAGGATAGCCTCATTTGACCAAAAGAGATCTGTATTTAAACCTGTATTACTTATGAAGGCATTTACTACCTCAGAGTATAAACATGTTGCAAAGAGAACGAGAAACAATTTAAGCTTTCTATTTCCTGGAAAACCTTCTGACTGCAAGTAAAACAAATGCTCTCGGGGGTCCTTACCTGCAGTGCACAACCATTGGACCCGCATCAGGAGGGTTACAGGTTTTGACTCTCCGTAAGAAAGCTAGAAAAGGTGTAGGGTGTTCTGGAACACCGTGATCAGGCCAGGCGGTGAACTGGAATTGTCTCACTTCTCTCTTCTCACTTGAACCATTCTGTGAAATAGGAACATTGGCTGAAATTCCATTTTCCCAGCCTCAAGTGGTAATGATGAATAACATGGAAGAGGTAACACTAAAATGTGCTATCTTAATTCCTTCCTCCCACCCTACATCCATTGGGAAGACATACTCTTTGGAGATATAAACCCCAAGCTATTCATAAATGACAAATATTTGCTCGGGAAGATAAAATTCTTAGGTGAGAAGCATTACATTTTTCAGGTTTAACTATGAGGAGCACTCCTGTTATATTTTACAGGAGGAACTAGTTCTTCTTCATCTATTCTTCATTCGTTGAAACTTTCGTTCAGAGAAAGAGTTTTATATTTACTGATAAATCGCCAGACAAGAAGAAAAATTGCTGAGAGATAATGGAAGAATTATTTCATTCTTCACTCTTGCCAGTTGGATCAAGATTTAAGTAAAGCCTTAAAAGATTTGATTTCTCAAAAGAAGCTTTCTTTAAATAATGGAAAGAGGAAGGGGAAGAAAAAATGAAAAGCAAACCTTGTAAAGTGCAAATGTTCGAACACAATATGTGGCCAGCTCCACAGTATCTAGCAGCGTCACTTGGACCAGTCCATGGGTTTCTGTGCCTCTGCTGGGCCAATACTGGTCACACTTCACCTACAAGTAACAAGTGACACATTCAGGGCAGATGTTCATCAACTTCTCTATTAACTTTACTTTGAGTTGCTGTTGAAGGAAAATAGCTTTTCTGCATTTCATTTTATGTTGATCTTTTTCTGGCATGCATTTTTGTTATCCCAATATATGTAAATTACTGCTCTGATGCCAATATAAACCACATTTTTCAAACTGGTAGAAATACTAAGCAGTAACAGATTCAATTTTCCTGGAGAAAAATAAGTTGCAGATTGTTGCTCAGTAAAATAAAGAGAGAGGTATTTGAAATTTCCTAGTACTTGAAAAGAAAATACAGATTTGTTCTGGGATAGATGTTATGAATCGCATCAGGAGATTACACATGGGCATTTAAAATTCATGGTAAGATAGTTAGTGTTAATCTATCAAGATATAAAAGATTCAAGCTATTTTGTCTTGAGCTATCACAATTTCCAAATATGCTTGTTTAAAGAAAAGCAGAAATAATTGGAAAATCTATCAAAGTATAATAAGAGAAGCATTTTTTTTTAAATACAAGATAAATGTTATTCGTATACAAAGCAACTTAAACCTGTAATGTCTAGGGGAAAAAGAACTGTCTGATCTTTAAAAACAGTCTCAGAGGGTCATAAGCTAGCAGTGCAAAGTTTAAATAATTTAAAACTCATTTGAGATGAATAATCTACAATTTGTATGTGGAATAGAGCAAAAACACACAAAAAGTGTTCAACCCAATTAGTTTAACACACAACAAAGAATAATTCCAAGTCTGCAATAAGCCTCAAAATTTACTAAATGTGTCCATTGGGCATTAAAAAGTATAATAAAAAATGACAAACAGCACTGTACTTTATAGTAAGGACATAGATCAGAATACATTTACCCATTTCATCTCAAATTTTTTAAAAATGGGGACTAATTCTTTTTTTTTTTTTGAGAGAGTCTCTCTCAGTCGCCCCGGCTAGAGTTCAGTGGTGTCATCACAGCTCACTGCAATCTCAAACTCCTGGGCTCATGCAATCCTTCTGCCTCAGCCTCCCAAGTAGCTGGGACTACAGGTGTGCACCACCACACCTGGCTAATTTTTCTATTTTTTGTAGTCAAATTCCTGAGTTCAAGCAATCCTCCCGCCTTGACCTCCAAAAGTGCTAGGATTATGGGTGTGAGCCACTGCACCCAGCTAAAAAAATGGGGAATAACTCTTAATGGAAAACAACTGAAACACATTTTTTTAGGTAAAGAAAGCTCCTAGTAGTATTTTATATTAGGAAGCACCCCTTTTACTTAAAAAAGAAAGAATCGAAAGTCACAATCTTTGGATTTAAACAAAGTGAATAGGCATTATTACTGTAGACACTAGAATTTTTTGGTCCACTGAACAGAATTATTAGATAATTATTTGCTTTTATGTTTAATATAAATATTAGTGGCAGTCTATGAATAATATTGTAATTTTCTGTTTCACAGAGATAGCATCTGCTCCTCTGAGGACTCAGGCTTTTTCCATGTAGATACTGGACCTTCTAAAAGGGAGAGGTTTTATCCTCTACACAATTTCCTAGGGAGAAAAAAGCACTTTATAGTTATACAGTAAGCCAGGTATTGAATTCACAAGGTTTAATCCCTGTGCCTTTATTTCAACTTTGAGACCACACAAATATCTTTTTGATGAAAAACAAACAAAAGTAGTTCACAGTAAGATGAAAAATTTGTCTTAATAGGATTTAAAAAAAAAACTTTGCATGTTTCCTAGATGCACAGAATGCTATTCTGTGTTTTCTATTTCTATGATTTGCTCTAACTCAAAGCGAAAACAACACAAGGGAGAGAGAACTCTTTAAGGAGAATATTGATGTAGCATAACCTGGGTGAGTACCTTTATGTGTTCTCTGACCAAAACCCTGGTTGTATGGGACATGTTTAGCAGAGGCTGCCACTTGAATACAACCAACACTACTTAAGGAACCATGATTCTGATGAAAAAAAAATCATGAAAATTAGGCCAAAGACTTTGTTTTAAACCAAGAAATGGGTGTCAAGTAGATGTCTCACTGTGGAGGACAAAAGCAACTTTGGATGCCCCCTATTGTAATATTTAAGAGGATGCCAGCAATGCGTTGAGTTAAAGAAATAGAGAAAAACTTAAATTCATTATTTAACAGTTTCAACTGTACAGTAACCCTTTCAATTCAAAACCAACTCATCAAATCCCACGAGGACAAATATCACTGTGATATGTACATGAAAAGCATGTTAATGCAAAAAAATAATCTATAAGGTCAGTTTGATGCACTGAACCAAATTCAATATAATTATATTTCAAAACTGAGAATTGGTTATACTCAGACCTTTTAGTGAGGAAAAACAAAGGAGAGGAAGGAAAAAACTGGAAGTCAGCTTTTATGTAACTTTTGGAAAAATCACTTCATTATTTAATGACTCTTATCTACAAATCTGTTCCATCCCTAAAATGTAGGAAAAAGTAAAATTATACAAATTATTCTTGTACTTCTAGTAATAAGAGTGAAACTGTACCTATTATTGGCTTAGACTCTGACCCTGTAGAAAAACATGTCACAAAACATTACCATAAAGACAAAATACTGTGAAAATTTCTAGCCAAGAGAAGAATTAAAAAGCTGCTTTTGTATTCAATTTAAATAATGTACTTTAATCTTATTCTTTATCCCTCCCCCAAAATGTTTCAAACTCAACTGTGAAAATCAGGAGCAATTTTTTAAGCAAATATATTTAAACACTATCATTCTCTCTCAGGAAGTATTACTCAAAGGAATCTTATGAAAAATAAATACCCAAATGTATGTGGAAAATGCACACATATGGTCTCAGCAGTGGGATTAGAAGCTTTCCCCGAGCTTATCTGAACAGCTACAGCGGACAATTTCCCCTTTGCTAGTAAGCACCTCAGCACCTCCTTTTTCAACCTCATTCTCTGAGCAGCTTGCACAGGTTTCATCTGATTTCGGAGGGCTGGATTTAAGAGCTTAGATTTACTGACAAATAGTATTTTAAACCTTTCATTTTTACCCATACACTAAACATATAATTTCTGATTTCAACACTAGAGAACAAACAAGGAGTATAGTAAGAAGGAAAAAAAAAAGAACAATAGAAATAATTTTTTTCCTAATTAGCTAATGCAAATGAACTAGCTACTTTTTCCACTCTTAAAATGTTTTACTTTGACAACAGCCCTTTCCCCACCCTTTTTACCTGAGAGAAAATCTTATAAGTTATTTCTAGAGAGAGTTACTGTTTGTTAGGCTTCACACATAAAGCTAAATGTGAGATGAGAAATGAAGGTGGCTCCCTTTGAGTATATAAGAAACAGAAGGCAGGAGCTACTGAATACAAATACTGATTTTTGCCCTTTCCTATTTGATTTTGAAGTGACAAGTGGCCTTCAGAATTGATTCATGGAAGGGTCAGGCAGAGTCTCATTGGATGCCCAGAAAGCTGCTTTTCTGTTTCCAGGACCAAAGCCCAGCTGCCTCATCTGTAAAATGGGAACAATACCTTCGACGCTCCAGGGCTATTGTAGGGGTTGAAAGTGAGGCATAATGCACCTAAAACATTTAACCCTATGGTTGGCACAAACAGGCATTCAACATGCACGAGCTATTACTGATTATCAGTTAGATTACGTTCTGGATTATGTTTTTGTTTGATTGTTGTTATAAATTACTAAATCATTTTAAATATGAAAAATGGGAACATGTTATTAATCTCAAGATATTGATTTAGAATATTTTAGGTGCAAGGCAAAGTGTTAGCAGCTGTGGGGACGCCACGGTGAAAGGGGACAAGACAAGTTCCTGCCCCAATCCATCAGCCTTATTGACCAAGTTTGAAGGTGTGTTTAGACTTCCTGGTTCTTCAAACAGGTAGTTGTGAGATTCCAAGTAACTCCCTTAATCTACTTGGGCCCCAGTCTGTTGTGAGAATGCCTTAGACAGACTCTGAGGTGAAAAGGAAGAAGAGCAGACCTGTTACCCAGGCTGTGGCTCAGAAACATTACCCAGTCACTTTATCTGAGGCCTCAAGCGAATGAGACAATTCAGATTTTTGGCTGAATTTTGGGGAAAAGGAAGGAATTTCTTTTTATTATCATAAAACCTCCTATGTGGAACTTTCACTTTTCTACAATGATGGATAGAACAGTTGACCATTGCCTAATTTATACTATAGATTTATTTTACCTTTTTCACGACAAGCTATTAAGAGAAACTCTATGGAATGATAAAACATATTTAAATGTATTCAAAAGAAAATTTTGTCATTGCAAATATCTGGTAAATCTTGGTCCAGTAGGTCTATTGACCATGCTTTGGGGAAATGCTCTTGTTTTAGGCCATTTTTACTCCCACATGGCTTAACATGGAAGTGTTTGGCACATTGTAGGCACTCAACAAGTGGTAGCCAACTTTATAATCAATTAACTGTGGTCTAGATTGGCTCATTTTTAAATTGCCTAAAACTTTCTGAAACAAAACCTCCTCATTTCAATTTAACAAGGACTTATTGAGCACAGCAGCATGGCAAAGCATCGGAATTCCAACTGTAGCAGAGCAATACCTCCAAAGGGTTCTAGAATCACTGATATGAAATGCATTTGCCACATGGTACTTTGAAAAGCCTGCTCAGGGCCAGATTACTTAGCCAAAGAAGGGCTTAGAATAGGCAATAAATGATATGTGGGACACCATAACTGTTGCTAACAGTGACTGTAAATCTGTACCTACTTAAGTTTGGCCAGAGTGGTTGTTCAAGAGTCAGGATTTTTCTGTGAGAACTAGACAGCAAGTATGCTAACAGATAATACAAATCAAAGTCATTTTGGGGAGTAAGGAAATGTCGATATCGATTTATCAATACCCATTTAATAAGGGGTACTGCAATAAAAGAAAGTTTTAAATAAATATCAGAATATATTTTAGTGGGCAGAAAAATTATATGCTGAACTGTTTATTTCTACAGGT